CTGTCGCCCAGGCTGGAGTGCAGTGGCGCGATCTCAGCTCACTACAAGCTCTGCCTCACGAGTTCACGCCATTTCCTGCCTCAGCCTCCGGAGTAGCTGGGACTACAGGCGCCCGCCACCAGGCCCAGCTAATTTTTTTGTATTTTTAGTAGAGACGGGGTTTCACCATGTTAGCCAGGATGGTCTTGATCTCCTGACCTCGTGATCCGCCTGCCTCTGCCTCCCAAAGTGCTGGGATTACAGGTTTGAGCCACCACGCCCAGCCTTGAATTTTTCATAAGAAGGTATTTATTTTTGAAGTCAGATACGGGGATTAAAACAAGATTGACTCACCTTTTAAAACTGAGCATCTCAATTGAGGCCCCTCTGGCTTCCATGGTGCTTTTATGGTGAGTAGTGTCAGGCACACACCAATGTCTACACGTCATCTTAGAAGGAATCTTAGATGTCTTTCCGAGACAATGTGCAGGGTTTTGTTTTTTTTTTTTTGAGACAGAGTCTCTCTCTGTCACCCAGGCTGAAGTGCAGTGGCATGATCTTGGCTCACTGCAACCTCCGCCTCCTGGGTTCAAGGAATTCTCTGCCTCAGCCTCCCGAGTAGCTGGGATTACAGACGCCCGCCACCACACCCGGCTAATTTATTGTATTTTTAGTAGAGACAGGGTTTCGCCATCTTGGCCAGGCCGATCTTGAACACCTGACCTCGTGATCCACCCGCCTTGGCCTCCCAAAGTGCTGGGATTACAGGCGTGAGCCACCGTGCCCGGATGACAGTGTGCAGTTTTTAAAGACCCTTACAGGTTTTTGTTTTTAAACATTCCAAAAGTATGTGACCCATCATGCCTCAGTTCAGAAACAAAAATCTGCTTAAAAGGGACTTTTACCACCACTATTTTTCTTTTTTTATTGAGACAGAGTCTCGCTCAGTCCCCCAGGCTGGAGTGCAGTGGCGTGATCTCAGCTCACTGCAACCTCCACTTCCTGGGTTCATGCCATTCTCCTGTCTCAGCCCACCAAGTAGCTGGGATTACAGGTGCCTGCAGCCACGCCCAACTAATTTTTGTATTTTTAGTAGGAACGGGGTTTCATCTTGTTGGTCTCGAACTCCTGACCTCAGGTGATCCACCTGCCTTGGCCTCCTAAAGTGCTGGGATTACAGGCGTAAGCTACCACGTCTGGCCCAACACCACTATTTTTCAACCTTACTCTATATCCTGCCAATTGGCAACAGAAAACTTGGTAGGAGAAAGCTCCTGGAGCCAACCTTCCTAAGAGAATGCTGAGGGGCACATATATTTTAGGTGGATACCTAAGTATAAAGAAAAGCAAGATTTTGGAGTAAAATAAAGCACTGAAGTAACCAAGCATCAAGCAGAAGGCAAGGACGGTTTGAACTGGGATGTGTGGAGGCTGGAATGCGAGTTTCTCAGCTGTTTCTTCGTGGGTTTCCTCCCTGCTGACACTGCGTTTCCTCTGTTCCCTTCCAGAGCTGTCTGCACTTCCTGTAGCATAAAGGTGAGGACCATGTGGGATCTGGGTTCTGAGCTAGGTAGATGAGGGGCTCCACTGGCTTTGATTGGAGGTGTTGGATGATACTACCCTCACCAAGCACCTCATTCATCTCCCTTCAGCAGAATCCATTCCCATACTTTCCAAGATAGTGTGCAGTTTTTAAAGACCCTTATAGGTTATTGTTTTTAAACATTCCACTTTAGTAGCCTGGTACCAAAAAACCCTTCACTTCCCCTCTAAAAGTCCTAGCTTCTTACATTCTATAACTTTTTGGGTGTTTTAGGAGGGGCTCCTTATTGCAGTTGGGGTGTGTGCTCACGTGCAGGTACACAGAGGTAAAGGGATCCTAACATTTAAAAGTATGTCAGCTGGGCATGGTGGCTCATACCTGTAATCCCAGCACTTTGGGAGGCCGATGAGGCTGGCAGACTACTTGAGACCAGCCTGGCCAACATGGTGAAACCCTATTTCTACTAAAAATACAAAAAAATTAGCTGCGCATGGTGGCACGCACCTGTAATCCTAGCTACTCAGGAGGCTGAGGCTTGAGAATTACTTGAACCCGGGAGGTGGAGGCCACAGTGAGCTATGACCGCACCACTGCACTCCAGCCTGGGTGACAGAGACTCCGTCTCAGAAAGATAAAATAAAATACAAATAAAAGTATGTCACCAGCCAGGTGCGGTGGCTCATGCCTGCTGTTCCCGCACTTTGGGAGGCTGAGGTGGGAGGATATCTTGAGCGCAGAAGTTCAAGGCTGCAGTGAGTGTGGTTGTGCCTCTGCACTCCAGCCTGGGCAACAGAGCAAGACCTTGTCTTAAAAAAAAAAAAACTATATATATGTATATATATGTATGTTACCCCTCAGGCCTCAGTTCAGAAGCAAGACTTTTACTACCACTATTTTAAAAGTCTTACTCTATATCCTGCCACTTGGCAATGGAGAAGCTTCCACCGCATCCATGTTAAATGTGGATTATGTGCAGTGCATGGTGGTAGATCTGTATGGTATAAAAAGGGACGGTTTGTGCCCTCTAAGAAGCCCCTGCCCAGATGAGCAGCAAGCAGGAATCACGTGCCAGTCTTCAGACAAAAGGCACAGAGGAGACATCGGAGAGCGTAGGGACAGCAAATATTCTCCAGGCAGCTCTGGCTGCCACGCAGGTCCCAGACTGGGGAGGTTCCTTAGCACTGAGTGTGCCCTGAATGTGTCTGTGGGGATGCCTGGCTCACACCTCCTCCCTCTGTGCTGCAGATGAAGATGCCTTCT